GAATCCAATCCTTCATCTTGGACTTGCTCAATAATGTAAATATCTGGTGACTGGGCTGGCCAATCCTGGAGCACCTTGACCTTCTTTGCTTTCAGGAACTTTGATGTGGAGGCTGAAGTATGAGAAGGAGAGCTATCCTGCTAAAGAATTGCCCTCTCCTGTGGTTTGTAATGTAAAGGGCAGCACACATATCTTGTTACCTGTTGATGTTGCCTTCCACTCTGCAGATCTCTCGCATGCCTACTGAATGTAAGCCCAAACCATGCGGGTTCCAATTGGTCTTTTGCCACTTTTTCAAATGATCAACCAGAAGTCAAGATGTTATTTGTTCCTTTTACAACTGGAATCGACGACTAGACTTTTGTCAGGTATTGTATTGTATAGTGAACTAATAAACATTAAATTGACTGTTTTTTTTTTTTTTTTTTCTGCAGTAAACTATGGTGTCATTTGAGTTGGATAATTTGTTTACTACAGCTGTTGTTACCATAGCAACTACAGAATTTACACAACAGATTACTTCAAGTACTTTTACTGTAGTATGATTAAAAAAAAACTGTATTATTTCTTGTATATTAATCTAGTGTTTTTTTTATGTGGGTGGACACATTTCAGCTAGTTACAACTATATTTCAGCTCCAATTAAATATATTTATTTTTTAAATGTAGAACTAAAATTAATCAAATGTATTGGGGAAAAAAAACCCTGAGTAATAAAAATTTAAAAAAAAAAAAGACTCAAACTTTTTCAAATGAAAAACAAAACTAAAAACTTGTTCGAAAGATCAATAAGTAAAAAAAATAAATAAATAAAAGAATTATTGTCGTTGAATCATCCTGAAATAACACTGGTATAAATACAAATGCACAAAAGCTTCTCTGCCACTATATATCGGAATTACTAGTAAATCCTTGGAAAATGTTGATGATTCATGGATTGAAAAGCAATCAAACTTTGTCTTTGTGGCACAGTTTCTCCTGTTTTCCAACGTTTCATCTGGCTTTGAATTGTGGAGTTTTGAAATGGAGTACTTTTTCGAACTTAAAGCCTGAATACTTCTCATTTGATCTGACAGCTCTGTTATAATAATGGCTGCATGCTTCAGATTTGATCATAAAGTAAACTTATTCACCCAAGCTCACGCTGCAATTTATTTTTATTATTATTTTTTCTGAGCTAATAAACGCTCTGCGCAGTTTGCTTTTCAGTTGAGTACTACTGTTTAGTTACACTTTTTGATGTTTAATGTTCTCATATACGACAGAAGTGGCAGCTCCTTATCAGTTAGGCAAATTGGTAGTGGCACTATTGTGGCTTCCATCAAGATTAAGTCCCAAAGGTGGAAGAAAAAGGTTGTAAAATGTGACCATTTAGTTTTTTATATATATATATAATTATATATATATATATATATTATATTATATATTTATATATATATATATAAAACATTGTAATAACTTATGTATTATATACTTGCAGTTGTCAAAATTATTAACAAAATTATCAAAAGAAAGTTATCAAAATTATTTTCCCTCCTGTTTCTTTTTTCCCCAAATATTTCCCAAATGATGTTTAACAGAGCAAGGAAATTTTTTTACAGTATTTCCTGCAATATTTTTTCCTCTGGAGAAAATATGATTTATTTTATTTTGGCTAAAATAAAACATTAATAAAAAACAAACATTTTAAGATCAGTATTATTAGGCCCCTTTAGCCATATTTGTTTTCAGTTATTTACACAACAAGCCATCGTTATACAATGACTTGCCTAATTACCCTAACTTTCCGAATTAACCCAGTTAAACTTTTAAATGTCACTTTAAGCTGAATAATAGTATTTTGAAAAATATATAGTCAAATATTATGTGCTGTCATTATATAAATTTTTTTTATTTTTGAGTGAACTGTCCCTTCAAGGGGGAAATTATGATGAAAATAATTTTTGGAAGCTGTTTGCATAGAACTGTGTGTGGGTATAGTGTGTCCACAATCATACTGGAGTGATGGAAACACAATAAGTCTCTTTTTAAAAATTTCCTTACATTAAAATATGATCCAAATCTCTGGAATTCTGAGGCCCACCGCAACGTGATATAGGAGTGCGGTTTCCCTACCTACTGAATTGATTGACAGCCGCGTAATAACATGTCTCCATAATAACGCGTATGATCATGTCAACAAGACAGGACGTGCACAAAGCAACCGGGATTAAAAGAACTGTTCGGCTCGCTGTGATCATCAATCATCATTAAATGTGATCAAGAATGAGATTTATAAGTTTAAAACGTTTTTAAAACAGTGGATGTAAAAAGATTGTAAAAGTTAAAGATTGTAAAATTGCTCTAATTCATCACCACAGCTGCATGTCAGTACAAATATTAAAGAAGACGCTTTAATCCCGGTTTGTGGACATTGAATCAGGTTTATTTTGTACATTACCATGACAGATGTACAGCAGTGGATATTACTGTGCATCCTGTCACTTTTGCCCTGCATAAACAGTACAAAGGGAAACGTGTGTGTGTGTGTGTGTGTGTGTGTGTGTGTGTGTGCGTGTGTGTGTGTGCGTGTGTGTGTGTGTGAGTGAACTTTGTAACAACATTGTGTGTGACTCATCATTCCAGAAGGGCTTGAATTAACTTCACATAAAATACATCAAATAATCATTGGTTAAGTTCTTACTGTAGTATTTCTCACAAACGTTACATGAGATCTGCTTCCTTAATGTCTGTCACTGTGCTGTTTATCTGACACAGCAAGAGAGGGAATCACCCATCAGAGCCTTAGGGAGTGATCTTTGTGGCTCTGACAGGCACGTGGCAATGGTGGGTGGGGAGAACTATCAAATTTGCATTAAAGGCACAGGCAACAAAAACAGCTACTATGTGATTAGAGCTGAAAATTCCACATTTCTAAAAGATATAATAAATAATCTGACGGGTATTTTGAGCTGAAACTTTACAGAATCTATCTGGAGACTTATCTTAAATCTTGAAAAAGGGGTAAAATAGGTTATCTTGCAAATATTGCTTCCAATAATCCAATATTAGTTTTGGTAAAAACATGCTCTCGCTTTCCATATTAATTGAAATATTTGTAAATGACACATATAGAGCCTATGTTTCCTTTACAAATATTATTGAGAACATTACATATTCTAATCTAAAACATAAAATCACTTACACATATTCTAATATCATATATAAATAAATAAATAAATAAATAAATAAATAAATAAATAAATAAATAATGAGGCTATTTAATAAGAAATGAAATTTAATATTTATTATTTATAAGGAAATGAAAAAAAATCCTACTTTGATGATGATGATGATGATTATTATTATTATTATTATTATTATTATTATTATTATTATTATTACTAAGTAGGATATTGTTAATTAAATTTTTTTTGAAAAGTCTACTTTTACAACTTGACCCATGCAAACCACTGCAGAAATGTTCTAACCAACAGGCCCATGTCATATACAGTACAGATACTTAATAAATAACCTACTATAAAAAAAAGCATCACCGTATGTTTTTTTTTCACAAACTTTGGAGATGTAACAAACTTTGCTTTTAAATAATAAGTCACCTACAGCTTTTGTCAAGTGCCATGGCTGTGTTCAAAATGACATCAATGTTTTCAAAGTTCACTGCGAAGGGAGCACAATTGTAAACATGAAGATCGCTAAAACTGAACTGTAAATATACTTTGAAAGCAAATTGCAACTAAGAGAGATGACTTTAATGCTTTTTAAAAATTGTAATCATTCCAAGTTTAAATGTTACAGTGTTCTAAAAGAATAGGGCATAGGGGGGATAACTGGGAATAAAACACAGCCAGGAAGTATGTTTCTAACTACAGCTCCAGAGGTGTAGTTGCAAGCATACAGTTGAAGTCAGAATTATTAGCCCCCCTTTGAATTTTTCTCTCTCTCTCTTTTTTTTTTTTAATATTTCCCAAATAATGTTTAACAGAGCAAAGATATTTTCACAGCATGTCTGATAATATTTTTTTCTTCTGGAGAAAAATCTTATTTGTTTTTATTTTGGCTAGAATAAAATCAGTTTTAAGTTTTTTTTTTAACTAATTTAAGGACAACATTATTTGCCCCTTTAAGCTAATTTTTTTTTTCAATAGTCTACAGAACAAACCATTGGTATACAATAAGTTCCCTAATTACCCTAACCTGCCTAGTTAACCTAATTAACCTGGTTAAGCCTTTAAATGTCACTTTAAGCTGTATAGAAGTGTCTTTGAAAAATATCTAGTGAAATATTATTTACTGTGATCATGGCAAAGATAAAATAAATCAGTTATTAGAAACGAGTTATTAAAACTATTATGTTTAGAAATGTGCTGAAAAAATCTGCTCTCTGTTAAATAAAAAACAGGGAAAAAAATTAACAGGAGGGCTAATAATTCTGACTTCAATTGTACAAGTTTGCGAAGCAACTTGCGAATGCTCATTGGAACTGTGGAAACGCCAAATTAACAAACTATGTTTGTAAGGGAGTAACTTCCGACCTTAGTTGGCTAACGGTGGTTTTCGGAAATGCACCACTGAATGTCCTAGAAACCACCTAGCTGTGTGTTAAAAAACTCATCTGTACTCACTTGAACATCATTGGAAGGTAATAAGGTATCTGCTTTTGTAAACACAGTGTTTATATTAGCAGCACAAACAAACCAGTCGCAATAAATCTATCAAATTGTATTAGGAAAGGCATTGACTAAACATTTGGTTTTAAGTGAAAAAAATAAAGGTCATCGCACTGAATTAGTCTAATCTGAAGATTTTTTTTAAAAAGGTTAAAAGCTTGCTTCTGAAGTATTGAACTGAATTCATAAATAGCTGTTTTAATATCTTCAGTTTGCATTATTTATAGGTTATGCTTTGGTTTCAGGGCAAGATACACTTGGAAGACATGAAGAAAATTGCTGCACAACAGTGGTTTTCTAAATGCTATTAAATTTGCATGTTTCTCTCAGGGCTATCTTCCAGCCAATCGGGAGCGAAGGGATCTGGTTCTCCAGAGGAAGCGGGAGGAGTATTTCGGCTTCATTGAGCAGTATTACCACTCCAGAACAGATGAAAACCACAGAGACACATACAGACAGGTGAAGCTTTCAACTCTTCTTTAAAATGGGCTGAAATTGACAAGCTCTTTTCTTATTCTGTTAGAATAATCTCCTGGAGTAAGAGAACAACTTTATTGGTTCATTGGGAATAAAGTTAGGGTTACAAGATTTGAGGAGTATCGGAATACATCAGAGAAAGAGAGTTACAAGTTTATCTTTTTTTTTTTTTTAACTATAAAAATATTTAACTATCCCTTTTTGTAGTATTCAGAGGTATTATGAATATGACTGTATCAGATTTTTTTCTTGCGGTAATGGTTTTATCAGGATATATATTATTACAATATTGGCATAAGCTGCAAAAAAGTGCATCCGCAAAGTAATCATAGCGCTTCACTTTTTTCCACATATTTTTTAGGTTACAGCCTTATTCCAAAATGGATTGAATTAATTTATTTCCTCAAAATTCTACACACAATACCCCATAATGACAATGTGAAAAAAAGATTTTTTGAAATTGTTGGAAATTTATTAAAAATAAAAAAGCTGAACAATCACATGTACAGAAGTATTCACAGCCTTTGCTCAATTGTTTGTTGATGAACCTTTGGCAGCAATTACAGCCTCAAGTCTTTTCGAATATAGCTTGTCACACCTGTCTTTGGGAATTTTTGACCATTCCTCTTTGCAGTACCTCTCAAATTCTGTCAGGTTGGATGGGAAGTGACGATGTACAGTCATTTTCAGATCTCTCCAGGGATGTTTAATAGGATTACGGTCTGGGCTCTGGCTGGGCCACTCAAGGACATTCACTGAGTTGTTGTGAAGTCACTCCACTGATATTTTGGCGGTGTGCTTTGGGTCATTGTCCTGCTGAAGGATAAACCGTCACCCCAGTCTGAGGTCAAGAGCAGATTTTTATTCAGGATGTCTCTGTATATTTCTACATTCATCTATCCCTCTATCCTGACTAGTCTTCCAGTTTCTGCTGCTGAAAAAACATTCCCACAGCATGATGCTGCCTTCATTTGTTTTTTTGGGACAACTTAATTGTTTTATATTCAATCCACTTAAATTTGTAAAAATAAAAGATCTAGTTAACTTAATCGATTTGTGCTCAGACAACATGAAGGAGTTGTGTGGTGTTTTTTACTGTTCACATTTCAACAGCAACCCACAATATTTGTTTAAATTGAGCTTGAGCTGCTCTGACCAGCATATATGCAAGTCTGTGCTGACTGTGACCCTTATGTCAGAAAACTAATGCTGCATGAGGGAATTTCAGTCGAAATTATCTCACACAAAACATGTTTGATAGATAAAAAGATCATTTTTATTTGATGAATATTTAATCAAGGGCTCCATTTTGTCCATGCATCTCAACAATGACAATCTGCCATTTACACAACCCTTATGTCGTTGCAAACCTGCATGATAGACGTCTGTAGAATATAAATATGTTGAAATTAAGGTATGTTTGCATGCAGCGTTTCGGTTCTCTTTTATCTTCTTAAATTCCACTGAAAAAGTTAAACCGGTATGGAATGACATACGGGAGAGTAATTATTATTATTTTTGTTTTTGCTTGGACTATCTTTTTAAGACAGAATAGTTGAAAACCCTGGAAATGGATGTCTTCTGCTTGCCAAGGCTGCATTAAGTTGATCAAAATTAGCGTGATGTCGGTTTTATTTATTTATTTATTTATTTATTTATTTTTATTTCACTTGTGATGTGATAAACTTTTTGTGTTGTCAACACTGAATATTCAGCACCATTACTCCAGTCTTTAGTGTCAAATAATGTACTAATGGTAGGGGTGTAACGATTTATCGTTGTACGATTTATTGCGATGCAAAAATGTCACAATATGCATCGTGGCGTTATGACGATTTGATTACGATATGACGTCTGTTTTCTCTTATTAGTTGAGCTGTTTGCACGTGAGCTACGTTCCACCTGCTGTCGCACGTGAGTTCAGATTGCAGCAGCAGTAATGTTAGCAGACCAAGATGAGTGGAGCTGAAATAGAGGATGGCCCATCCTCTCAAAATCAGATGTCTGGCAACATTTCGGTTGTACAGTCATTGCTTTAGACTCGTCCGCTTTTTGACACGCATACTGGGTCAAACATCCTAAGTTTTAAAGTCTTCACAGTGATTTACATACTTTGCACAGCGACAGGGATACCTTCTAATGGTGTTGAAAGAGTCACATACTGTATTTATAAGGTACAATTCAGCCTAAAATATCATTCTGTCTTCATATAATGTTCCCGCCGCAAAATCACACATGACGTGAGCTCACCGTGAGCTGTTACTACAGAGGGCGGACTGATAGACGCGCGCGTATGGCAAGCCGTTTTAGCATTTAAACCATTGTTCTGGCTATCTATAAATATATTTAGAGATATCTCTAATTATATTTTGACTAGTCATAATTTTAATTCGACTAGTCAGAATGACAATTAGAGATATCTGCAATTACAATTGTACTAGTACGAAATCAGATTGGAGATATCTGCAAATATATAATGACTAGTCATATTCCTCCATTGACTTCTATTGAAAAATATTTGCAGATATCTCTAAATGAGTTTTGACTAGTCACAATTGTAATTAGAGATATCTCTAAATGAATTGAATTAAATATGAATTAAATACCTGGAAATGTGGATTTTCTTTTTTTGCACACACAAAAAAACGCAAGTGACCAAGCAAAGCCTTAAGCTCCTACTGTTAAGTTCAATTGAATAGAAAGCTTTTTTTTTGCACCTTTACTTAAATTGTTCCTTAATTTTGTCTCTGTCATTTCAATAATATTTTTAAGAAGTTTTTAAATTGTTTTATTTTCCAGAGACAGGCCTGTTTAATTTATTTTTCTTAAAGAAGGTTCAGTTTAACAAGTTGAAACAAAAGAAATACATAAAAAATAGTTTACTTGGTAAAATTTGCATTTCAGTTTAATTTTCAATTTTTATTCCAAATATCGTGATATCGAATCGTGAACATTATATCGTGATACACATCGTATCGTGAGGTGAGTGTATCGTTACACCCCTAACTAATGGGATGCTCTAGGGATATTTCTTATTATTAATGTTGCTTAGTATTTTTGCCGAAACTAATACATTTGTTTTTTCAGCATTATTTGTGGTTTAAACATGATGGCGGTCGATTTACAATGATGACAATGAAAACCATTTTGTCTGCAGTATTGATTGGCGAGACCTTTTTTCCATCTTTGTTCATACAAAATATTTTGTAATTAATGTGTTGCCCTATGTATGTAGTATTTATTTACTTTTTGCATCACAAATGTTGAGAGGATTAAATAAATATTTATTAAATTTTTTTTTTAACAGGAAAAGGAATATGAAATATCGGTTTTCTTCAGGAGCTTCACAGTTCTATTCTGAGTTGTTTAAGCAAATGGCCATGCAGTTGCATAGTATATGTGGCTGTGAAGGTTTTGCTATGCATTTTTAGAGGTGTTCCAAGCATTTTCTATGATGTTCTCTGTGGTTCCTAGGGTGTTTTTAGGCACAAGTTTAAGTCTTTTTCAGAAAATTTCCAGGCAGTGACTAGGCTTTTATTGATGCTTGAGTTTCGAAGAACAGTGTTTACATAAATGGCTTTACTGTCACTTTTGAACTGTTGAATTCATTCAGACTTAATAAAACGATAAACTTATTTACAATAAAATAAAAATAATGCTTATATACAGTGGATATGAAAAGTATTCAGACCTCTTTAAACTTTTCAAAATAGTGAAGCAGTGGCTTCACAACAATTCTGTGACTGTTCTTGAATGGCCCAGCCAGAGCCTTGACTTAAACCCAATTGAACATCTTTGGAGAGACCTAAAAATGGCTGATCACCAATGTTTACCATCCAACATAACATAACTGGAGAAGATCTGCAAAGAGGAATGGCAGATGATCCCGAAATCCAGGTGTCAAAAACTTGTTGCATATTTCCCCAAAAGACTCATCGCTGTATTAGTATAAAATGATACTAATTACTGAGCAAAGAGTGAAATTTCAGTTTTTCTTTTTTAAGGAATCAGCAAACATGTCAACAATTCTGTATTTTTCTGTCAAAATGGGGTGCCGTGTATACATTGAGAACTTAAATAATAACAGCAAATGGCTGCAATATAACAAAAAGTGAAAACTTTAAACGGGTTTGAATACTTTCTTTTTTGGATCAATCCTCTGAGAGACAGTGGTCAAAATCACCCATATGAACAAACAACACATAAGCCTGTAAGCACAAGGGCTTTGTATGTGATACTTGAATAAGATTTTTACCTACACCGAAAACCCCATAAAGTTAAGGTAACTCAAAACTCAAGAAAATCGATTGCAACAAACCATTTAAGTTCAAAAACTAATCCTAATAAGTACTGTGAACGTAATCTGTTTAAGTAAATGTAGCAATTTGAGTAGTAAAACCCAATAATTGAAGAGAACTCCAACCAACGGAGTACTGTAAAACCAAACAAGTTAAGGCAGTTAAAAAACTAATCTATATGAGTACTGTGAACTTCATTTAAGTTGAAGTAATGAGGTATTTAATTAACTCATTACCTTCAACGCTGAGTTCAAAACTCTTTTCAAATGAGTAGAATTAACTTTGTCAATTTTAAGTTAACTACACTAATTTCATTTGATAAAGTTGACTGTTGTAGATGAGATGCCTTAATGAATTGTTCATCATCTAGTTTAACCAACTGTATGATTAATTTATTTAGCGTTATATTATAATTTAAACCAAGTTGTAAATTTCAGTCTCTGCCACAAACAAACCACAACTTGTAAGATCTGCTTAACAGTCTGTTGACTTGAGTAATCTTTTTTGCATTAGATGCCACTGGTGACAATTTAAAAAAGTGAAAAGGTCTGTGTGATTGAAAAAGCACTGCATAAAGCAAGAAAGATTGCTAACGTCAATTGATTTCGCTAACAGGCTTGCTGACCTTGGTGTAACAATAAAATAATGATGCTGCCATCTTTCAAAGGTGATTGTCCTCCTCCT